AATAGCTCATCTCTGTGCTTCGCCCTTCCAACCAATTTGTTTCCATCCATTTAGACTGAAAGCACTGTGCCGAGCAGGCAAAGCGCGTAAGTGCTCACTTCCGACACAGCAAATAAAAGCAATGACAAGCCTCTCCATTTTAGCCAGCCACTTATAAGGTAGCGATACCTTCTCAGGTACGTGCGGTACCGTTATAAAAAGTCATCTGAAGCAGCGCTTTGGCAAATGCTGCACATGTGCACGGCATAGCTGATGCATCTCTTAGCAACAGAAGCTCCATTTCATCTAGAGAAAACTGGTCCAAAACCAGTATGAGGAAAACCAACAACTCCTACAGCTTTGCAATGGTGTGGTGGCCACACAAAGGAACAATATTTGAATTAAAATCACAAAAAAGGAAAGCAGGACAGTACAAGGGTTCGCTATGTCTTTACTAGCTTTGGACTGACCCCACCGCTTCTTCTGGCCTTGCATTTGCAAGATTAAATTCAATGGCGGAGCTCTAGCAAGTGGCTGGAAGCCAGACTCTGTTGAAGGGGATCCTTCTGATGGATGGAACAACCATTTGTTGGCACCTTCTTCAATGCTAGCTTCAAAGCCCTGTGTATGCTACGCAAAGAATTGCCAGAAGGCCTTTAAAATAGGTAATTAATATTTCCATCCCACCTTTGCAGTCACAAATGAATACAAAAATTATGCAACCAGTATAACACCCCCATTTGGGCTTAGAACTCCAGTCTTTGTGGTTTTAGACTTTTCTCTCAAGAGGAAGGAATTCTGGACAGAATACTGCATTTTCAGAGGCGATACCAAAGTTCGGTGATGAAAGCTAAATTAATATCTCAGACAGATTTCACTGAAACCCAAGCATCACATAGGTTGTTGAGCGTACTTCTTAAGACATAGCTCCTTCAGGCCACAGCAAAATTAAAGCAAAACACAGAAATTAATTCCTAGCTGGAAGAGTTGGCCAGACAATATTAACTACTCTTACATTTGCTTCTCTCCAGAAGAATCCCAGAATCCTAGCACGGCAGGGGCTGGCAGGGCCCTCGGGAGCTCACCCAGTGCCACCCCCCTGCCCAAGCAGGCTCACCCAGAGCAGGGGGCAAAGGACAGCACCCAGGCGGGGGTTGAAGATCTCCAGAGAAGGAGACTCCACAGCCCCCCTGGGCAGCCTGGGCCAGGGCTCGGGCACCCTCACAGTCAACAAGTTCTTCCTCCCATTCAACTGGAACCTCTTCTGCTTCAGGTTGTGCCCATGGCCCCTTGTCCTGGCGCTGGGCACCACTGAGAAAGAGTTTGAGAAGAAAACCAGAGCTGAAATCCAGTGTAGAAGCGGAATGCAGGTTGCAGAAATACAGCTGCACGACCTGCCACGGCCGAGATAGCCAGGTGGGAAAGCTGAGTTACAGGGACTCTGGGTGTGCAGGGGTAGAAGCTAAGGCATCAAGTCCCAGTTTGGCATCGACGTCTGAGAAAGTTGGTGCTCAAGAGAACAGGGATGATAAAGCTGAGAAATTACCGCTGGGAACACTCACATACCACCGAGCCACAAATGTATATTTTATAAACTTTGGCAAATGGGGATAAAGGCTCCGCTTCCATGAATTATAAATGCTACGGAATTTAGAGCATTTGTTGTGCTAACTAGACTCTTGTTTTATAAAGTAACCCTGGGCCCTTAAGGTACTTCTCTATTGAGCGAGAGCTGCTTTATCACCTCTTGAATAAACCCCCAGCCCCCTAGTAGCCCATTTTCCTATATAATAAAAACTTTTGCCAGTATAAACCAGTAAGGGGTTGCATCCTTAGCGATGCAGAGATGTCCACGGGGATGCAGAGTGCAAGCCGAGCTTGCGACCCAAACGCTCACGTGTTTGTCAGAGGACAGTTAATTAAGTGACAACATAAAAATAAGTGATTAAAAAGAAGTCTTGGTTTTTCTGCTTTTTTGGCACAGGCAACACATCCGAAATTAAAGATCGAAGGTTTCCTCAAAAAGAAAGTTTGAATTTTTCTGTTTACATTCCTGGCTTTGATTTCAGTATCTGCCCTATACGCAGTTTAACTCCTACAAGCATTTAAATGCTTGTAAAATAAAGGTTCCAAGTCTTCCCAGGGGAGCTCAACGCTGAACTCAAGGCCATGGCATTGTATTTACAGAAAGAATGTAGGCAGGGAAAAAAAACAAAAAACCAAAACAAAACAGAAAAAGCCCTAATTAGCTTTCTCAGGCAAAGAAGAACAGGTCCTTGACCAAAGTGTTTTAATAGGGAATAAACCCAAAAAATGTATAAGCAAGAGAAAGTCACGTATGTATTACATCAACTCAAGTTCCCCTTAAATTTACTTCCCCAACACCAAGGCAGGCCTGACGGGGCAGGGGGAACAAAACCCCAGCATTAGAGATGCAGCCCAATTGGTATTTCCAAGGCCCTGGAGCGTTCCTGGCTGCCGCAGGCCCGCGGAGCCTTCTCCATACCGTATTTACAGAAAGAATGTAGGCAGGGAAAAAAAACAAAAAACCAAAACAAAACAGAAAAAGCCCTAATTAGCTTTCTCAGGCAAAGAAGAACAGGTCCTTGACCAAAGTGTTTTAATAGGGAATAAACCCAAAAAATGTATAAGCAAGAGAAAGTCACGTATGTATTACATCAAC